AGCATCTTAATGGAGACGAGATGGACCTTATATACAGAAAGACTATTGGAGGTATCTAGGAGTGGTCAAGTAGTCTATGAGGTAATAGAACTCCAGGGGTGGCCAAGGGAGAATGGAGCCTAGATAGGAGTAAGGGTGGGAAGTGACCTGGGGCTATAGGGAGGTATGGAATTATAACCTCAGGAGAACACCAGAGATTTGGCCATGTGGGAAGGTCCAGGGTTTTTCCTTTTTGGGGGGGGGGTCTAGATCTTATCCTCATCATTCCCCCCTCAAACAAATGGGACCCAAATTCTTTTGATGTAAGGGGCAAAGGTCTCGTCTTCTAAAACTGCTTCCTGCTGGCAAGGGCCGTAGAGCTTTCCCCGCCTTGAGAGGATCCCAAAGAGGAGGTTGACTGGAACTGAGCACAGGCTGCATCCAGGGAACAATAGACATTGGCTGGTACCTGCTGTTGCTACCAACTGTAGGTGAATGGCCTGTAATCTGGAAGACACAAATCTGACAGAAAAGACTACAGGGCCCAGATATGACAGGTACTAGATTCAGGGCCCAAGTTTGAGAGGATAAAACATCCTTAGCTCTGTTTGGATTCAGATAATTCAGTTTTCCAACTACGCAGTATCAAATCCACCTTTGCCATACTCGGGATAATATTCCCTTTCAAAGGAACATAATGGGGAAACTGAGCCAGAAGGATCCCATCTTAGACTGAGGCTAAAATTGTCCTCTCAGCTTTTCTGATGCTGGCTTCCCACCAGTATAACCTTCTCTGAGTAGCTTGTGGCATTTGTCTTAGATGGTAGATTATTGATTATCAATGCATTATGACCCATCAGACAACTCAAAATAAAATCCTATGAGCTTTTACCTCAAACAGCAAGTTTTACTAATCACAGCTTAGAAAAACTTTTCCAGGATTTACATCTCAAACTTAAATTTGTCCTGATGTAAAAAGCCAATCATTAGAGATTTCTATACACTTGCAAATTCTCAGCAAGCCATTCATAATCCAAACAAGCTTTTTGGCTAGTTTACACATTAAAAATGATAAGCAACAATAGCTAAATTATTTTATCAGTAACCAAATTCTGAAAAGTTGCTTGACGTAACTGATAACAGAAACTTCACCAATTTGAAACTTGAAATAAACCCATTACCAATCAGGTGACTTCAGTTTTGTTAAATGCACTTCCAAATTACTTTGCACAGAGAATCAACATCTCATCATTAGCAGTTAAAACTATACATTTAAAAGAGTGTGCTTACCCAAGTTCAGAGGCTAGCTTCATTGCCTTGAGCAAGATGTGCTGAACCTGGGTGATGCTTCCAGGCAAAGGTTGCCCTAGAGCCCAAGACCATTGCCAGGGGGCCCCCATGCTGTAGCTGCTGCCCCTCCCCCCCTTCCTTTCCCAGGTGAGGGGTAAAGGGTGAAACTCCTTCTATGAGAGGGGTTAACAGATACCCTCTTGACTCAAGGGAAGGGAGTGACCAGGTTGTACAGGTGTATCAAAATTCCTTAATGATCAATCACAAAACTTCCAGAATATGCCAACATATTTTTAACTTGTTCTAACTTTCCCTGTAACCTCCATGAAGGAAGATTCAGAGGTGCAGAGGGAAGGGAGTAAGTAAGGGAACCAAAAAGGAACTGCAGTTTTCCCCAATTCCCTAGTGCTGAGGGAATTAACAGAATTGAGCATACACTTCCAGATAGGGTGTCCGTCCTTGTCCTCTATGCTGTGGGAGGTGTACCCAGGTCCATAGCCTTCAACTGACCCAGTGAACTGAGAGCCTGAGAGCTTCAGGCTGAGTGAGAGACAGCCTCGTAACTGTCTGCCCTAAAAGCACTTCCAAGCCTTGCTGCAGAGCAAGAAATGAGGGGAGAGAGGAGGTTTACATACTTTCCTGTCTTGGCTGGAGAAGAACTTGGGGTTAGGTAGTTTCCCCGTATGGGCCACCAAAATAATGTGGTTTAAGGGTTCAGGGGTGCTGGGACCCCAATATCACAACACGTGGGTCCTGTCTGAAAGAATTCGACCCAAGCCTTCTTTCAGCCAAAGACAAGGTTTATTAGAACATCCGTCATATTGGGCAGACTCTTAAGGAGTCTGAATATTAGTAAGCTATTGGCTAGATTATAAGAATCTGAGCAGTGGCTGGATTTTAGGAATCTGAGCCCAAGAGACTTTTTTTTGGAAGGAATAAATAACATTTGAGCTATCTGGAAAATGTTAGGGTCTTTTTTCAGGTGCTCATATGCACTATGCATTTTATTTGCCAGGAGATTTTCTGATGTAAAGAATGTCACTCCTAAAATCGTATTGTCTTTACCCCTCATGTGTGTATAAATCCTTTGACATTAGAAGACTGTGAAAACTGTGTGGAAGAATTGTACCTTATGTACACCTTACATCTTGTTGGTAGCACATCAGAACTACAGCCAAGGCCAGAGGCACTTGGCCAGAGCAGTAAAGGCTAACTTTTTTTTTTTTTAAATAACAACCTTGTGCTATAGGTAATAGAGAATTATCATCCCCCTTTTACAGGTAGAGAAATTGAGGCTCAAGGGTAAAGTGACTTGCCTGGTCACATAGCTCAGAAATGTCAGGACGTCAATCCAGGTTTTTTTGACTAACTCCATTTTGACTCTACCACACTGCCTCTTTTCTGTGACTTACGAGTTATGAAACTATGGATTAGTAATGATTTCACACAGGCCTCCACAAAACTATGTGCTTTGCACACTCCTGCACTTCCACAATGAAGAAATTAGGTCTCAGAGCCATTGGTTATACCTGAAAGGATTCAATGACCCAGCAAGGACAGCTGCTTGGTCATTCCTTCCAAGGTTACTGTTAAAGTCATGGTGTCCTGTCTAAAAATGTCCAAAGTAGTTTCATGTTAAACTGCCACCTCCTCAAACTCTCTCCTAAGTCTGTCTTTAATGTTCTTGCAGGTGCTAAGAAGATTTGTTTCCTGGTAGCTTAAATTGAGTTAAGCAACATCTCATGGATTTTGCTTTTTCATAAATTTGGAACATTCCCATTTTAAATAATCCTTTTAGCCTTGCCTTTGTAAAACTGTGGCCCAGTGCTTAGCTCACGGTGCCCATTCCCTGTGTGTTAGTGACTGACAGAGCATTGGACTTAATCACAAATTTATTACTACTTAATCCTCAACCTTTTGGGAGGGGAAAAGAAAGGGGCCTTAAGTGACTCAGGGCAGAGTTGTTTGTGGCCTTAGCTTTATTGAACATTGGGATACAGGTTTGCTTTTAGGTCTCAAGAGCCCCTTGAGGGCAGGGCCTATTTCCTTTTCGTCTTTGTATTTCCATTGTATCTCCATGGGTGCTCAATAAATGTTTATTGTTGTTGCTGCTTGTCCAGCTTGTAACAATGATCAGCTTTTCAGTTTTTTAGCTAGTATCAAATGGTTTTGATGATTACTCTTTTTATATTATAGTTGAATTGGGATCTGGTAATTCTGGGCCTTCTTTCCTTTTTTTTATTATATTCCTCCAAAATTTTGTCTAGTTATAATTAGATGTGATATATAATTATAATATAATTAATATAATATAATATACATTTAGGTAGTATAATTTTTATTATTAAGCATCTCAGTTTCTTTAATAATTTATAGTTTTCTAAGTAAGCCATTAAGATCTTCTGCAAATAGGGATAGTTTTGTTTTCTCTTTGCAAATGTTTATACTTTTATTCTTGTGTCTTATTGCTATGTTTAGCTTTTCCAGTTCTGTGTCAAATAATAGTGGGATGTGGAGCATTTTGGTATTTATTTTTTTAAACTGGAGAAAGTTGTATGTTTGTCTTGAACTTGAACATCTTTTCATACTTACTGGTTTTCCCTCAAAATTTAGTCAGTTCGTGTGAGTAGGGACCTCCTTTGCAATACAGTAACATTTTATAAACTAGCTTTTATAAACAGGGTTTGAGCCTGTTGCAGATACTAACCTCTCAGCATCCCTACTGGTAGGTGGTAAAAGGAGAGGAATTTGCTGACTTTGCTGTGCTTTGTAGTGAGTCACTAGCAAAGCTGTGCTTAGAAATCACAAGTTCTTCCTTAGAGTCCCTATGGCTTCAATCTGACTGCACCTGTTTTTCATAGAAATTGTTTTTGTACAAAAGTTTTTGGAAACTAGGGGCATGGAATTCATTGTTTTTTTTCTTTGAGATCACATCATATTTAGTGAAATAATACATTGGGAGCCAGAAGACTTGGGCTCTAGGCCTAGTCCTGCTACTGACCAATTACTTTGGGAGGCTCATCTTTCTCTGATTTAATTTTCTCATTTTTGAAATGAGATGGTTGGACTCAATGGCCTTTAAGGCCCCTTTCTAAGTGACAGGCTATGTATGATTCCATGATTTGTTTGATTTTAGGCAGAATTCTCAATCACTGCATACCTCAGTTTCCCTTCAATGTATTATGTGTGCAGTTGTTAAAATGTGGAGATAATAATGTTCTTCTAAATTCACAGGTAGCAAAGCAATTGGGCTTATGTGTAATTGGGCTTATGTTTTTGCATATATAAATTTTTTTCCACCTAAGCACTTTTAGAAACCATGTTCACTTTTTAGTCATGAACCTCTTATAAAGGAGATCAATTCTTTTTGTTTGTATTTTTATTATTATGAATTTGACGAATATTTCCTTATACAAAAAAAGATCAGAAAGAGAATTATATGTGACTTCACCATGACTATATTACATTATAGTCTGTTTTTTAAAGAATCAATTAAATTGAACCCAATAGTTAGTTCCATTACTGCCCTTCTTGTTTGGGTCCCCCTTTAAACTCTGAGGTAAATTTTTCCTTGAGCGCGCCAACCTTAGCCTCCACATCCAGCCTGTGGCTTCAGTTCATGTTTGTGAGCATGCACGTGTGCGTGCATGTTGGATTTTGAATTAAAGCATTGCCCCATTTGTTGTAAATGGCTGTTGCTACTCATTTACTTTCTGTTGGGTTTTATACAGGTGGAACCTGACTTCCTGCGGAACCAGTGTAGCGAGCTCTGAATGCAGTGAGGAGCTCTTTTCATCAGTTTCTGTCGGTGACCAGGATGATTGTTATTCTCTGCTAGATGACCAGGAGTTCACATCTTTTGATTTATTCCCTGAGGGAAGCGTCTGCAGTGATGTCTCTTCTTCTATTAGCACTTACTGGGACTGGTCAGACAGTGAATTTGAGTGGCAGGTAGGTTTTTTCTTTCTTTTCTCCTTATCAACAGACATACAAAATATGATTCCCTTGATAGCACTTTGCTTTTCATCTTAATTTCAAGTGTCTCTTTGGATCTGATAACCTAATCTAAAGCTGATAATTCAAGGATGTAATAATTGTAATTTTTATATTGTTTGATGTTATAGTTATAATGATAGGACTCTAATATGGAGTCATTTGGGCTGAGTGGTCCTAACGTCCATAAAGCATATAGGCAGTGACAGAGAAGTTTGTATTTTTCCATTGTTTTGATTATTTTAACCTTGTGTCAATCTCTGCAGCTTCTGACTGGATAAAACTCCTGGCCATCTTCAGTGGCCTGTAAGTTACTCCTTCTGCTGCCCCCAGATGGCCAACTCAAACACTCTCCAAGTTTCTGGTCTCATTAAAGAAAGACCCCTACCTGATCCTCACCTGAGTCTGGTATCAGTGAGTGACCCCAAGAACTTTACCACATCTGGATCTGTTTAGGAATTCCCTCTTCCGCATCTGGCATTGATTACCTATTCTCCACCAAGTCCAGTTTGGGGGCATAAAACTTCCCTACCTAAACCCCAACTTTCAGCATGTATTTCCTCTGATAGGACTTACTCCCTCTAGTATTCAGAGAGCTTCTTGTATTTGTGGGGACAAACTTCATTCTATATTGCCATAGAGAATGTGTGTGTGTGTGTCCGTCCTTTTTTTGATGTTGTGCCTGCTTGCTGCACCTCATAATAATAAAACTTCTGTTTGTACCAGCTTCCTTAGTACCAATTTCTTGCAATTCCCTGAACCCCAGGTCTTTGCTTTAACATGAGCTGTGAGGCCAGATAAAGCAAGGGGTATACTTACTTATTTTGCTCCATTTTAATTAATGGATCTTATAAATTTCTGATACTTGCTGTAGACATTCTTGTTAATTTATATATAATCTAGTGACTTATGTGTATTATATGAGATGAGTCAAAGACCTTGAGGACCATAGATGAGAATTATGTAGAAATAATAATTATAATAACTCCTATTTTAGGGCAGGTTGAGATTTGCTAAGTATTTGACATATTATTTCATTTGATTCCCACAACAACCCTGGGAGGTAGGTGCTATTATTATCCCTGTTTTACAGATGAGGAAACTGAGACAGGCTAAGCGAAAGTACGTAAGGGTTTTTGAATCATCTAATATGCAAAGAATTATTTGGTAGAATTGGAGCTAGAAGAGATCTTGGAGATGAGACAGTGGAGATCCTGAGTCACACACATCCTAGGTAGAAGAGCCAGAATTTACAACCATGTCTTCTGACTCCAGCTACAGTGTGCTTGCCACACTGCCTTTAGGAGGCTTATCACTTGCTGAGTTCTTTTCCTTTCATTCATTTCTCCCCTGGTTCTATCCTCGTCCCCAAACCATGCATATATAAAATGTCTTTTGTTTCAGATTAGATGAAGATGCTGGTACAGCTTGGGTATAGCCTTTGTTAGCAAATGCAAATATACTGTTGTAACATTGCAGTTTGGGTGCCAATATCCTCCCACTGCCCACAACTTGTCCCTTGTTCACAGTAAGGTCCTACAAAGTTTCCCAAGAGAGCAGTTACATTGAATGCTTTCGTGGTGGGTCCTCTTAGAAATGACACTTTTTATACCTTGCTTATCTCATGCAGTTTATTTAGCATTTTCATATGTAGTTGTAAGGGAGAGCTACCACTAGTATTTGCTGTTGTGTAAATGTGAGTGTTTACAATATTAGACTAGACTCTAATTATATCCAGTAATGCCTTCCCTCGTCTGAAATTAGAATATGTATACTCTCTTAATAATCTGATGGATTTAAGTTTATTTAAATGTACTGTTTAACAAAATTGGAAAACATTTAAAAAACATTCTTTTGTCATGGAAAGATTCTTACTAAATTTGTATAAATATTTCAAAAATTTAAATCTTAGAAATTTAGGCTTCTGGGGGAGTTGACTCTCTTTTTTACCAATCAAAAAGAGAAAATCCTCTTCCTTCACAGGGTCCTAGATTTAGAACTGGAATGGCCTTAGTCACAGGGTTGTTACCAGGATCAAATAAGTTGATGTGTGTTAAATGTCTTACAAAGCTTCAAGCACGATAGAAATGGCAGTTATTATGAAGGGGTGCTAGAGACGAAGTCAAATTCCGACTCAGGTTGAGGCACCTGCCACCATTGGGCCAAACACCTTACCTGATCCTCAGCATCTTCATCTCTTGAGAACTTGGGTAAATGATGATGATCATAGCTAGTATCTCAATAGCACTTTAAAGTTTGCAAAGCTATTTACCTCTATTATCTCATTTGATCTTCACAACACCCTGGAAGGCAGGTGCTGTTATCCTCATTTTATGGTGATGAGTGCAGGGGAATGAGTAACTTGTCCAGGGTCACACAGCTACTAAGTGTCCTAGGCAGGATTCAAACTCAGGAATTCCTGACCCCAAGTCCAGCGCTCTATCCATTGTGCCATCTACCTGCCAGAAGTTAGTTAGCAAATGGTTTTGGTCATAGCACTAATGCAGAAGGCCTTAACCTGTTTTTGTGTCCTGTACCTCTTTGGCAGTGTAGTGATAGTGAAGCCCCTTCTCAGAATATTTTTAAATGCCTAAAATGAAATACATAGGATGCAGAGAAGTCCTATTTATGGTGAAATAGTTACCAAAATATTCTAAAAAACACAACAAATTCACTGACCTCAGGTTATGAACCCTTGCACTAAGGTGTGGAGCATACAGTGAGCTGGGGCAGTGGAAAAGATGCCCACACTGATGAAATTTTACCCCCTTAAGTTGTTGGCATCATCTCTGTACCATTTATCTCCTATCTGGAGTATACAGATCTGATTAGAGAATGTGGATGGGCATATCCTATTATGTGGAGTATGCTGGTTCAACTCCTGATTTAGTTTATGTGACCTCAGGCAGGTCACTTTACCTTTTCTGTACCTCTTCTGTTCAGAAGAGATTGAATTAGCTATTTGTGGTCTCTTTTCTCATAAATCTGTGAGAAAACTGAAGTCCAGAGAAGTTAGTTACTTTCCCAAGATCACACAAGTAGCAGAACTGGGATTTGAAACCAGGTCCTCTGACTTCAAATTCAACTCTTTTTGCTGCATGCCTTTCTTCCCTTTGTTCAAAAAATTACTTATTTTCAGTTCCAAATTCTCTACCTCCACCCATTGAGAAGGCAACAAATATGATACCCATGAAGTCATGCAAAACATGTTTCTGCATTAGCTATGTTCCAAGACAGAAAAAAGCAAGAAAAGTAAAGGAAAAAAATACACTTCAATCTGCACTCAGAGTCCATCAGTTCTCTCTCTGAAAGTGGATAGCATTTTTCATCGTGAGTCATATGGAATTGTCTTGGATCATTGTATTGATCAGAGTAGCTAAGTCATTCACAATTGATCATCTTACAGCATTGCTGTTACTGTGTTACGATGTTCTGGTTCTGCTCACTTCACGTTGCATCATTTCATATAGACCTTCCCAGGTTTCTCTGAAAGCCCCCCCCCCCGTTATTTCTTATAGCACAATAGTATTTCTTTAATTTCTTTCAAAAGAAATACAGTATGCAATTCATTTTTTAGTCATAGAGCCATCCATAACAATTGGAACTTAAGTTCTTAAGGTACAGTGTCGTGCTTTTGCACATAATGATAATAATGGGATTATTAACTGGAGATAAAGTATAGGTGGGCAGCATTCTTACCTTTAGAACAAATTTTAATTTTAAGGACAATCACTCAAACATTGTTTGTTTTTTGTTTGTTTTTTTTTGGCTAGGCAGTGGGGTTAAGTGACTTGCCCAGGGTCTCACAGCTAGTAAGTGTTATGTGTCTAAGGCCGGATTTGAGCTCAGGTCCTCCTGAATCCAGGGCCGGTGCTCTATCCACTGCTCCACGTAGCTGCCCCAAACATTGCTTGGTTTTTTTACTTAGTTTTTTAAAATCCCATGAATGAACTGTTAGAAATCCCTTAATAAACACTTGAATTCGTTAGTGCTTAATGAAATGATAACATAGACTTGAATATTAGTAGCTGCTTTTGCAGGTGTACAAAGAATTATGTTTTTCATTTGCACTAAATTATATTTATTTGACTTACCTAATCTACTTTTGCAGCTGCAATTTTTATCTCTGGGAATGACTCAGAGATTTCCATCTTCTTCCTATGGGTCAAACCCAATATGACTAAAATAGAACATCTTTCTCCATTTGCCCCTTCCTACTTGTCTTTTTCTGTCAGTGGTAGATAGCATCATTCTGTCACTTAGGCTCCAAAGCACAGATTGTCATTGGCTTCTTCTGCTGTACTACTCCCCCAGTCATCTTTTTCTCCTTAGAATCCATCAGTGTGCCTTTTCAATATATCACTTGATAATCTTGCCCATTTGTTTTGTCCATATCAATTTTCTTATGATTTTGTCTTGCTTTATAAAAAAGCAAAAGTATTTTATAATTTCTGTGTACTGTCAGAGGGCTTTCCAAAATGATTCCACAGGTTTGCAATTCTACCAGCAATGAACGTGCATCCCCACCACCCCTTATGTTTTTTACTATTATTACTACTCTTTTTATTGCTAATCTGATGTATATGAGGTGGTACCTCAGAGGTTTTTTTTTTTTTGCGTCTCTTTGATTATCAGTGAAGTTAGGCATTTTTCAAGTGTTTTCTTTTGAAAATTGGACTGTTTATCCATTGTGAACTAGGTACTACTGTTGTGACTTAAAAAATAAGTTTCTCATATTTTAGATGTCAAGCCTTTGTGTCATATGTAATCATAAATATTTTTTCTCAATCTCTTGTGCTTTTTTTCTGAGAGCAGAGCAATACCAAATAATTTGTTTACTCTCAAGTTAAAATTTGAAACACTATTCTTTAATTACCATCTCAATCCAGTTCTCCAAGAAGTTGTATTTTTTCCCTCTTCCTTTATTTTTTTCTCAATTACATGTAAAAAACCCCACC